TTTTTTTCTTTTATTATATCGAAATAGATAACATTAACAAGAAAAACATCATTCAGTTCCCACAACGATTGCAATTTTTTGACACGTTCCACCCATTCAAAGGGTTAAAAATAACAAATTAATGTTGAGACGTTTTCAGTGAGCACGATCTTAGTTTTTAGATGAACGAAAGATACCCATCCAAAGTTCATCGTTGTAGTCTTCGGATATGAACCACTTCTTCTCTTCAAAACATCTGATAAGGAAGAAAGAAAAACCTAGAAAGAGGGAGAGAGAGAGAGAGACAGTACGAGTGAGAGGGGTGACCTGTCAAAAAGTTTAGTTTGTAGAAAATTGAGAAGTACGGGCGTGTCTGACGATACTGGTCGCGTATATCGAGCGCGTGGGATCAAGAAAGTTGCTTGGCTTAGCCGCTGTAACCGAGTGAGGGGGGAGGAGGGGAGATATATACTAGTTTATATATATATAAATGAGTTTGCGTCTAGTAGAAAAATTTATGTCATTGGGTTAATAAAGTCTTCCTCTTTCACTTTTCTTTTTTCCTATTTTTCTTTTTTTTTCCAAAAACGTAACATCCCTTTCTTAGTTTGTTGTTATTTCTCTGAATGAAAGAAAGTAAGCAGCTCGCGAAATACGAGGGTTTTAAAAGTCGGTCGAATCTTATCGAATCGAATCTTGAAATGTTTTTATTTTTCTACCATCGTCATCTTCTTCCATCGTATTCCAGACATTTCGATATACTTTTTGTTTTCATTCTTCGAACGAACCCTTTTTTCGAACATAAAATCTATACTCCAAAGTCTTTACGACTTCTCTTTTCTAATGATCACGTAGATCGTAACGTTTGATTATCTTCCACGCGAATAGTGATTCGATAAGACAATAATACTATAGAAAAATGATTTCTAGTATCAATAATAACGCATAATCGTTTAATAAAAAATGTTGAAATAAAATATATTTATCTGGAATAATATCGATATTATCATTTCTCCAAAGATGAAATGTCATTTGTAGTATAACAGTTAGTAGTCGTAAATAGTTGGCTATCGTATATTACGGAAGTTACGTACATAAGTCTCTTGAATACGTTACAGAATATTCTACAATACATACAAGTATATATATATACTTAACACACACACACATATGAAATCTGTTCCTGGTTTTGCACGTGTGCGGGCGAATATAACCAAGGGAGAGTTTCCATTCATCGAGTCGTGGATATCAAACGCAATAGTTCATGGCACGCTTCCGACTAGGTGCTCGTACTAGGTAGGTAGAGAGGTGTTCAGAGTAGTCCTGGTGGTACTCTGGTACTCTAGGACTAGTCCTCTCTACCTCCTAATCCAACCACCCATCGTTTCACACCGGTTTCTGGCAGATTTACAGGGCCGCGATGTCTGATATCTGCATCCTAGAGTCCGCACGACTAGCTCTACCAACCAACCCCCCAACTCCCCTTTTCAACCCCTTTTAGACCCTACTCTCCGAGCCGTACGCTCTTCGTCAGTCGGCTAACTTTGTGAAACCCTCTCGAGATCCGTTCTTCGTTGAGTTGGCTGTCTGACTGGCCAGCTCGTTAAAATCGTCTTGATGATTAGCGAGATTTATTATTCCCGGGATTTCTTTCCTCTATTTTATTCTCCCTCTTTCTTTCTCTTGATAGAATTATTCTCAACTAGTTTTACTTTTCTTTTTTTTCCTTTAATCCGTTCTTCGAAAAGTCAAAGTTTTTAAAGGAGTGTTGATAGACTTTCTAGACGAGTACCACTTAACCATAGTTTTCAATAATGACCGACATTTTTAAAGGTATTAGTAGAAATTCAGTATTATTTTTCATGATATTATAGTCAAACGTAATTTCAACGAGAACACCACATTTTTCAAACACGAAATTGTTTCTTTTTTTTGTTTGTTTGTTTTTTTTTTATATATAGATACACGATACCACCCCAATCGTGTACGAGAGACGATGATGCTTCTTGAGAATTTCTAAGAACACGCGATGAAAGTTTGTTATCGAAAAAAAAAAAACAATACCCCAGTGATCAGATAAGACTAATCGCGTAGGATATAAGCGTCGATCGTAGCAAATGAGATTGCAAATAAAATCTAGGTAATGCGAAATAAGCACGGCATCGAAATGAAATAGCATCGAGACGGCTAAAAACTTAGATCGAAGGAAAAAAAAAAAGAAGACTTTTTTTATCCAATGATTGCTGAGAAACTTGGAATAATATATTATATTCGTATGACCATATATGATCGTCTTATATACAGTGTGTGTATGTGTATACGTGTATTAGATTAGATGAACGAGTAATACAAGCGTGAAATAGTATGCAAACACAACGGAAGACTTGGAAATCAAAATGCAGGTACGAGAAGGATACATTAGCATCATCGTTATACTAACATACCTTTGTGATATACCGAGGCGTATGAAATCATTCTCTAATCCTCTTGTGTAGGGTCGTATGTCGTAACATCGAATGGTTTATATCAAGCACACGCTTGTCTCTGAATGCTCTTTATCACCGACGTCCTATATAATCGTTCGGGAATGCGTAACCACCGGTCGGCAAGTACGTTCAACCTAAACGAAACCAAAAGCAAAGGGAAAGAGAAATGCTGAACCATTGCAGAGAACTATATTTTTTCGGTATTGATAATATTTTAATTTCGCGAGAGTCAAAAGAAATAAAAAAAAAAGAAAGAAACGAAAATGTTTTCCAATTCGTTGATTCGAACGTGAAAAATTCTAATGTGTGTGTGTGTGTGTGTATTTCTTATTTACGTGATGAGTTATTCTCGGGGAAAAAAGGATTGTATGTGATACTTTGAGAAAGGGATAAAAAAAATACGAGAGGAGGGAGAATTATACAAGGATGGGAAAATTTGTGAAATTATAAAAACGCAAAACGAATATTCTCGTAAATAAATGTGTCTGTTGCGCACGACGATAGCAATTCCATTATACGTTCTCTTTGAACGAGGATATGTTAGTGTATTACGCGCGTCTAAATACAGCTTGCACGAAAATATTATATGAAGAAATATGTATATAGTGGGGTATATGTATATGTCGAATATGCGTGTGCTATATGCAAGAGAAGAAAATTTTAGAATTGACGGATGTGAAAACGTATTTCGATGTGCCAGCACATTTTTGAAATAGCCTCGTGTTTTATTTACACTCCTAGAATTTATTTCATTTTCTTAATAGGGTTGACTTATCAAAATGTCACACACGTAAATGTATTTTTAATTTATATACGATTTGTTACCTCGTCGTATTAATTTTTCAATTATCTATCATATCTGTTGATAAGTTTTATTAAACGTAATTACAACTAATTGATTATTCGATTTAAGATCATTTTTGTTCCCCGTGGAAAAAGGTATTGCGATCATATTTTAACAATAACAATATTCGTTAGTAATTAACTTTTAAACATGCATAAAAACGACATATTCGTACAGGTGCATGAACACAGACACGCGCGCGTAGATTTAAGTTAAACGATAAAGCGAAAAAGCGTGTGCATGTATAAATATCAACGATTCTTAATGACCAGTCGTAAAAAATAAAAAATAAAAAAGGAACAAAAAAGAAACAACGAAATGCAACGAGTATTTTGCTGGGAAAATCATTAATGATAAAAAATTGAAGAAATTGTTAAGCACAAAAAGGGGTAATGCGGAAAAATGGTCGAACCCCAAAAGACTGTGGGTAGGTATAACGTTGAAATAATAAAATAATGGGATAAACCGTAATGACTGCACCGAGATTTCATGGGCTTTTTTTTTTCTATTTTTATTTAGGCGACAGGGCGAAAAATCGCGAATGAAAAATGATAATTGATATAGATGAAACGGAAGTGCAGTAGCAGTGGGAGATATGCTAACGCGTTGGAAAGGAAGAAAGAATAAGGGGTTGGTATATTTCGAAGTTAGGTGGAAAAAAGTAGGTCAGTTGGAAGATATAGAAAGAAAAAGGAAAAAAGAAATGAAAAATAAGGAAGGAGAAAGAGAAATACAGTGGAAGGAAAAGATAGAACAGGTTGAATCAAAAATATAAAGCGTACTGGCTAGAGACTTACGAAGTAACATAAGAAAAGCAGAAAAGAACGAATGTGAGTTAAAAGAACGATTGTTTTCTTCGTTTCTAAAAAGATCACATATTCCCTTTATGTATCTATCTTTCTCTTATTCTTTTCTCTCGATTATTATAGTTAATTAAGATATTAAACATTTATCTTAAAAGATGTGAGAGTTATTGTTTTCTTTTTAAATAAATTGATTATACAAAATGATAGAAATAATAATTGTATTATTCATTCGTGTATCGTCGTGTGTCGAGGTACATATTTACTTTTATGCATTTATTTACGCAATAAATCACAGGAAATATCACGAAAACGCAATGGAAGAACTTAAACTTGCGACTCCCTAATCCAGTGAATCAAACTTTATCTCACGGAAAATTCAAATTCCATAATAATTCGGTAAACAGTAAACTTCAACTACTACTACGATGCTTTAATTTCCTCTTCCGATTCTGTTCTGTTCTCGCACCATTGACCGTAGGAATATTTGTTTTTATATTACTTATTTAAAATGATTATTAGAATATCCTTGTTTATTTGATATACAAATTCACGAGTATATTTTCATTTCTTTCAAAAGAAATAATGAATTTAAATAATAATCTCTTTATTATTTTCATTATTTTATCTAATGTATATTACTTTTATATTTCTTTTTTATTGAACTTTTATTAAGTTATTTATGAATCAGCTTAAATAATTTCTTTTAAATTAACGTTTATGTGTGTCATATATTTTAGTTGAACATTTTAAGGATCTCATAAGCAGCTTATGATATCATATCCCCGAGTAAGGATTATATTAGTAATTGTAATATCAAAAGAAAGGGTAATTTCAATTGAAATTTCAGTAAATAATATTGTTTCACTATCTTAATTGTGCTCACAGGTGGCATGGTTACGAGTTGATACGCAAACCATACTGACGATAGCGAATCACGTGATAACGAAGAACCACAGAATCTCGGTATCTCATAGTGACCACCGTACGTGGTTTCTCCACATACGCGAAGTCAGGGAGTCTGACCGAGGATGGTATATGTGCCAGATCAACACAGATCCTATGAAAAGTCAGATTGGTTATCTCGAAGTTGTCGGTGAGTATTATTCCTATCTATTTATTTTTTCATCTCAACAATATATATATTTATACATACTTCACATTTCATCAATCGTGTTTTATCATTATTGTTTTCACGACAAATCACTTTGTCCTCGTGTCATTCTATAAATATTTAACACCATTCGATATTAAATTTGATTTCATTAAAAGACAGATTAACATTCATTATTCTTCTTCTAATAATAATAAAAAGATAATATCTGCTTTTTATTTTATTTTTTTATTATTTAAACGTTAACGCGTAGAATACATTTATGATTAAAATAAACAATCGTTATCGTATACTATTCGATAAAGATTAATTATTCGATTAATGATCGGAACAAAAATTAAAATGCAATTTTTCTTTTCCTTATTATTAACGTTTTGTGATTGAGAGAATAGTTGTACGAATTGTCACGTTCGCTTCGAAGATAGTAGATAACACAACCGGTTTCTCTCGGATCGTAGAAACGGATTGCGACGCCAGTATACGTTAACGGTTCGCGTCCGAAATAATTATTGTCAGGATGTTCGCATCACGTTGATAGCACGCTATCTGATACATGGGTATAATTCATGATATTTCGGACCTATACGCGCGAGAACGCGGAAATTACATAGGATTTCGCACTTTCCTCTATCGACCATACATACTTCGCTCTCTATTTCTGTACAATCGATTACGATTAAAGACACACCTTCGATATTCTCTCTTTCTCTCTCTTTCTTTCTCTTCACACTTAAAAAAATATCAAAAAAATATTATATTTACTATACGAATAAATATGAATAGAAGATTCAACGTAATGAAATGTATTAAGCAAATTTAATATTTGTTTCTTTCAATTTGTCCTATTTCAATTTGATGACTTGATATTATTCAATTATTAAATATAATACACGCGTGTGTGCACTGATATTATAATATCGTTTATTTTTGAATCAATCTCATTGCTTTTGTTTCTATTAATTCTATTTCAAATATATTGTATTAATTCATTGTGTATAAACGTATATAACACCCTTCTGTTCTTAATAATTTATAAGCACAAAACATGATAATTTTCAACTTACAAAAAGGAATAGGTATGCGTGGTAGAAGTGAAGGTGTAGTAATAGCTTCGTTTATAATAAAAGGGGAAGAAGACTATACATTTAATCCCACACTTTCGTACTTGTTATTACAAACGTACTTATCCTTCTATTTGCATAAGCGCGTTTAAATTTATACCAACGGCGATCTACGGGTATTTTATAATTTTACCTGATAAAAATAAAACCAGAAAAAGAAAAAACAAAGTAATGTTTAAACGTTAACAATCATTTAATAGATTATACTGATTTATTAAATACAATTTTTAAAACGAAATTGATTATTTCGTAAAGTTAATAAATACGAATTTAATGTTGATATGTAAAAATGATCATTATAATCATCAATATGATTGGTATATCTTGGATATTGAATTAAACATTAAAAACAATCATTTTAATTTACACACACACACAATTATCTTCTTATTACTTTAGATTATATAATTATCGTCATAATTATTATCGATTTGTTTTTTTTTAATAAACACGCATTATATACAATTACATATTAGATAAGATGAAAATTACTAAATTGACTGACGAATAGAACAGGCTTATTACCAACGAAGATTACAAGTTTTTTTTCTTTTCTTTTCTTTTTTTCCATTCGAAAACCGGGGGACGTAAAACCATGCTTGGAAGCTTTAACATTCGCTTAATTTGCAAGGCATTAACCTTGTTATATTATAGGTAGAGCAATATTATGGCTGGGTGGAGGTGGTGGTGATGGTGGTGGTGGACTTTGGTAGACTCAGAACAGTAACGTAGTATACTCTGTGCACGTAGTACTCGTGGCACGCGAACGATCTTTACTACCCTTCTCGGAAATGAAAAGCCCCCCTCTCCCCACCCTCGTCTCTCCCCCTACTCCCCCTACTACAGTGTTCACTCTCTTTCTCTCTTTATAAACGAATGCGCGAGTAGTAAGCTTAGTCTTTCGTTTGTATCGCCATCCCCCAAGTACAAACACTCTTGCCTCGTATATCTGATATACTTTTTCATTTTATCTCTATCTCTTTCTGTTTTTGTCTTTCTCTTTCTCTCTCTTTCTCTCTCTCTCTCTCTCTCTCTTTTGCTTTTTCTGTTTCGGGTCATCAGGCCACTCTATTTCTAGTTGCTTTTGATACAGTCCAGGCAATAAAAAAAAAAAACAGAAAAAAATAGGATACCAAAAGTGCAGCAAAGGTTCTTGTTTCTTGTTCCATACGCAAAATTTTCCTTTTTTTTCTCCCCCCCCCTCTTTCCATCTCTCTCTCTCTATCTCTCTCTCTCTACCCTTTCTTTTCTCTTTTTTTTTTCCTCTTTTCAAACGGATTTTCGAAATACTTTTAACCTTTTTTTCGTTTGCTTTGCTTTGCTTTTGATTATTTTTCTTTTTTTTCTTTTTTCTTTTTCATTAAAAATATATTTATATTTAAATCTTACTTTTTGATTTTCGCTCGGGATTAAAAAAGTAGATAGAAAATATGGGATATTCGAAGAAGTATCGGAAATAATCGCAGATATTTCGCAAAGTAATTTTTTCGCGTGAACGAGTACGCACATATGTGTCTCTAAACAAATTAACATTGCTACATTATATTATTATACATATAATATTTCGAAATGTTCTGATATTGTTTTATATTTTATCACAGATTTCAGTTTCGAGAGTTTATATTATAAATAATTAAATTTTCATTAATGAAATCTTTTATGCGTAATTCTAAAACCATTGATGGAAATATTATTTATGAATATTACCAATCAAATGAGAATAAATTATTGCTAATATACGTTGAGCTAGGTTAATGAAGTTAGAAACAAAATCAAATTTTGCGAAAAGAAAAAAAAAAAAGAAAGAACGGAAAAAATGTTGTCTCGTGTATGTGTGTGTGTGTGTGTACACATTTAATCATTTTCTATACTCACCTAAGGCGATCACGCATGCTGTGTTCATTTCGGTTTTCCAATGAATTAATACTTCCTTAATTAGTCTCTTACGCGAACGTGCCAAATTTCGAAGAGCATTTTCCAGTAGCGTGTGCCGTTCAAACCATAGTTTGCCTCTGAAATCGCCTTTCCTACCGTGACATGTGCTAATAATGTGAAAGAGTAAGAGAGAGAGAGAGAGAGAGAGAAAGGGAAAGAGAGAGAGAAGAGTACAAGCAAGCTTTCGTAAATTACACGTAGTAACGAGCTTTGCTTGTCGGATAATTATTTAATATTCGTATAAGGCATAGTTAATAGATTAAGAAAAACATTTTTTAGAAGGAAGAGGGGGGGAAGAAGAAAAAAAGAAATTAATTAAATATATATATATATAATTTTTTATCGTTTTTGATCATCGTCGTAATTCGTTCATCGTTTTCAATTGAACGTATACGCGTTCTCTTTAAAGTTATTTCATTTTTTTTTATTTTTTATGAAAAACAAACGTAAAGAGAGAAAGAGAGAGATAAAGAGAAAAAGATATTTTCGTTCGGGGCGGAAAAAGGGATCATTTTAAGCCGAGTAATAACGTACTCCACGTTACCAAGGCTTATTTGTAATGAAAAATCCATCGAGAGATTCACGATTAAGGGCAAAAAGGAAATCGCTCGACAAAGACGGGTGTACGAGAAAGAGCAAAGAGATAGAATGTAAAGTAGAAAGGTAAAAAAAGAAGAAGAAAGAGGAGTGAGAGAGAAAAAGAGAGAAAGAGAGAATCCCGTTTACTTTCAGAGGTAGAAAAGTACATGTGTACGTGTATACACATGAATTGTATATATATATATATATATAGATATATCTTCTTGGCATTTCGACTCGCAGAAATGTTCGATCGGTCTCGGGACCGCACTTTGCGTCCTATACGATGCATCACACTCGGTAAAAGATTTCTTAAGCGGCGAAGAGAGAGAGACAGAGAGAGAGAGAAAGCTTTCTCTTTTTACCAGAGCTACGATCCGCAAGAAAAAGAGAGAAAGAGGGAAAAAAAAGGACATAAAGAAAGAAAGAAAGAAAGAAAGAAAGAAAGAGAGACGATGTGCCGATTTACATCTTGCTGGTGCTTTTCGAAGGAAACCGTACGGGTATTGTATACGGGCTTAGGATACTACACATACGTATACTTATACATTGATACAACGCTAGTAACAGAAGCGAAATGATTTCACGAGGGAGATGAACTTCCGTAAGTAGCCGCTCGGCTATACGTGAAAGTACTCCGACGGTTTCCAACGAAACGGAGGTATGACTTTGCTTGTAGTAGTCGTGTGTGTGAGAGAGAGAGAGAGAGAGAGAGAAAGAGAGAAAGAGGGGTTTACGGACGAAACTCACGAGATTAAATTGCTACAGATGGGATGCAAGAGCCTCTCCTCCTCCTCCTCCTCCCCCCTGTTCCACCCCCTTCTCCCCCTCCCCGCATCTCGAGAATACCAATTTGATTTCGGTACGAACGCGGTATGAGCATGGAGGTTACTGGAAAGATCGTAAAATATATAACAAACGTTCACAACGAATCTCATGGCATCGTTTGCTTGCCAGCAGCAGCTAAGAATGGACAATCCCCGAGTTCTTCTTTTTCTTCTTCTTCAACATGAAGAGTAGGGGATATTTTGGGAGAACGAATGTTATTCGAATTATTCGAGAATTTCATCCTCGACGAGATATTTTTGATGAATCGAGGACAAAGTTACTTATACGGCTACATGCGTCTCCCCCCAACACCCCCTCATCCACCACATTCGACACCATTCCTTTTACAATTTCCCCTATTTTATATCTCATCGACGATAAAATTAATTCAATGATTCTCGTTTTGAAGCAAATAATAATTAGATTTAAACCGAGAATTTCCGGTAGAGGAGTATGATAATTTTCGTGCTGTGATAATAATTATGCCATTTACATAAGCATTACGCGAGTAAATAACAT